GATTGCCACCGTATCCCGGATAGATGGAATCCGCTTTTTCTCCCTTGACTTTGAGCCATTCTCTGTTTAAGACACTTCTATAGGATTTCTTTTTTTTTCTGAGTTAACTCTTTATGGCATATTTGTTTGTTCAGCAACTACAACTACAACTACTTCGTGAATACCTTGTTTGCTAGTCTTGCTGTCATTATCATCTAGAACTATTTTTTTTCTGTTTCTTTGCCCTCAGAAATCATATTAATTCTTCCTGTTTCATCGAATGCATAAACAAGAGAATGTATATATTGATGTATATAAATTAAATGAATAATAAAAAATACGATAGAAAACTATAGGTAAAAAATTGATTAAGAAGCAAAAATATTCATTGTAAGCTGTTTGTGGTCGGTAGAAAATAAAAGTCATTTGTATAAAATAGAAAGAATTAGAATAGAACACAAACATCAGTAGCTTTTGATACGGTTTTTATCTATTTGTGAAAATGAAGACCTTCGAGATGAAAAGTGTTGATTAAAATTATAAATTATGCAGTATTAGAAAAAAGCAGAAAAAACTTCAAAAAGCAGCATTTTTTTGCTAAAAGTAGAAGAGGTGGCAACTCGGGTTTCAACTGTTATCTAATAAGAACTAACAAGAATTGATGCAATCACAGCAGCATATGATAATAACTGAAAATAGTGAAATAATTCAAACAATTGCCGAGGTAGACAGAAGTACGAAAAAGTACTGAGAAGTACCGAAAAGTACCGAGAAATACTGAGAAGTACTGAGAAGTACTTGAAGTTTGATTTTCCTCCTTGCTCAAACCCCACACGCACACCCCATTCACACTCACACTCACACCCACACTCACACTGACACACCCAAACACTCACAAACGCCGGCACCCCCACCCACGCGCACAACAACAACTATACCTACGCCCAGGCCCAGGTCAGGCCCACGCCTATTCCCATATTCGCACCCCGATCCTGCATGCTCACACCCACACTGACACCTACAGCCGCACGCCACACGCATCCAAAAAATCGCGCATGTCAGCACGATCAGTGATAAATAATTTAGGCTTAAAAATTGATCCCTGGGGTTCTCCTCTGTCTATTTTTAATCAGTTGATCTTTTACCTGCTACGTCGGTGAAAGCTTTTCTTAATCTTAATCATATTTTCAAAAGGAGATTAGTATGTTTATAGTCCTACAAAGTTCTTCTTGAGGTATGTTTATAGAAAAATAGCGGCCCTGACGCATGTTTGTGTTTCGGCAGTGTCTTCACGAGTATTGGTATTGTGGATTATTCTGCGAAATACAACTTGACTATGCAAGAGGATTTATCCTTTTGTGTTTGATAGTATCTGCGATTATCAAAATCATGCTTCTTTTAAAGCTTGCTTTATTGACCATTGCAAATCTACGAGATCTGCCGTAATTGGCTTTGAATATTTTCCTGTACCTTTGACTAGCCAATACCGGTGACCACAATGGGATGCCATTTCAAAGTACATCTCAGGCATAGGCCAACCTTCATCATAACCTATTTCAATAATATCTGTTCCTGGTTTACACCACATAACGTTAAATAAACCTGCTCCATGTGGTGCTACTACAATGCGAGCCTTCTGCCATATTTTTATGTGTTCTCGCACATGTCCCTGAGCTGTAAAAATATACATTTGTAAATTATGTTTGCTTTCTAAAATATTTTTTTTTCAACCAACTTGACTAAATCATCATGGTTTGTTATTGCTCGAGGTTCGCCTGGCGCTCTTCTCACAATCAGTATCAGATTACGTTCTTCATCAGACAATTCTTCGCTGACGAAAACTTTGTGAACACTTTGCATATCAGTTCGATCATGAGCATATTTACCGTATAAATCTCCCGTTAAATATGGCCAGCTTTCAGTGCGATAAACAATCTTGGCGGCGTAAACTCGACCTTTCTCATAAGGCACAATTCTGTCTCTCGTTAATAAACCTTTCTCAATCAAAACGTCTACGAACTGATCAGCAATACCTCCTTTAGACACAAGCAGTTTTGCCGTTTTCGGAGCAACTGCCAATAGTCTGACAACACGTGGTAATTGCTGAGGTGCAAAATGACCGTTCCTTGACAAATAAACACCAATAGAATCAAGCAATTCCCCATGATATTCTATTTGCCTATTGGTGAAGTCGACATAAATCGGTGAATTGTAACACTTTTTTGTAGACCATTGTTGGAAATAATACGTACTTTTACTAGTGTAAACTGTGCCGGGTACCATTTCGTCACAAGTTCCAGCATCAACGAAAGCGTTTAATATTCCAACTGTTACGGAATGTGTAGTTCCTGGTATTCTTTGGGACAACACATTAGGTTTCTGTGTACATGATTCCCAAGAGTTTAGACTCAATAGACTCAACGCACGGCATGTTGCATTAAGGTCCTTTGAGCGTGGTAGTGAGTGTAATACAGGATTGCTCAGCTGATGAAAATCATCCACAATGAAACCTTCCTCTGGATGCGTTCGTAAATAGGTTTTAACATCATTTACCACAAATGGAGGATGCTTGCTTGATACCTTTTGAACCATTTATAACAAGCTTTCATGAGAAGGTCTGCGAAGAACAGCAAAGACCATATGAAAATGTTGTTCTTTGGAATAATATACCTGACTGGGTCGTAAAATTCAATATGACAGATCTTTTTGACTGGACTTGGCATCGTAATCAAGATTATGGTCGATATCTACAATTGTTTCAAACGAATTTTTCTACGGCATCAAGCAAGCATCCTCCATTTGTGGT